TAAAAATGAATTTTGGAGAATTGATTTTTGATTTACCTCCAACAGTGAAAAGAAATGTACGAAAGATTGAGAAAATTCGTGTTAGAATTATTAATCTTACTTTTTCGGTCATATTTAATAATATATGTCTACAGGAAAGACTGCTACCAAAATATACTAATATATATATATATGCGAACAAGCCTGAATGGTCCCCAGGACTATATGCGAATGAAAACTCACACCCCAGAAGTGACTCGAACCCATACTCCCAGAAGCAACGCAACTGGTAACTACAGGGCGCCTTAATCCGCTTGACCATCACGGCCGTCAAAAGGCTATCACTTCCTTTTGACGGCCGTGATGGTCAAGCGGATTAAGGCGCCCTGTAGTTACCAGTTGCGTTGCTTCTGGGAGTATGGGTTCGAGTCACTTCTGGGGTGTGAGTTTTTCATTCATATATATATATATATATATATATATATATATATATATATATATATATATATATATATATATATATATATATATGTGTGTGTATATCATGAAAATAAACACGTGATTAAGAATGTGACAATGTCAGACCACGGAGGAAAAGGAAACAGGAATTTCCTTAAGTACTTTCGTATATTAAATACATCTTCAGAAGGAATGATTTTACAGATCGAGTGATGGGTATAAATAGGCAGGAAAGAGTGGTGAAGTAAGGTGAGGTACAATACTTGGACAACGCAGACGGCCCATTGGCCCATCAGATGCACCTAATTGGCCCATCCAATGTAGCAAAATGGCCCATCTGATACCGCAGACATACAAGCACAATACATAGGTAATTATAACATAAAGAGGTAAATATATACAATGAATTAGTGAGACAAATGTTTTCCAATGATCCTACTTAAATCGCCCTTTAGCTGATCTATTAGAAATGGATCTAAGTTATATAGACCACTGCTAATATTCAAATTACTTTCTTTGGTGATCTGTATCAAAGCAGATTCAATTATGTTTCTGTTATAGGTGCTACATCGCTACATTGCTATTTGGGCTACATTGGATGGGCCAATTAGGTGCATCTGATGGGCCAATGGGCCGTCTGCGTTGTCCAAGTATTGTACCTCACCTTACTTCACCACTCTTTCCTGCCTATTTATACCCATCACTCGATCTGTAAAATCATTCCTTCTGAAGATGTATTTAATATACGAAAGTACTTAAGGAAATTCCTGTTTCATTTTCCTCAGTGGTCTGACATTGTTATATATATATATATATATATATATATATATATATATATATATATATATATATATATATATATATATATATATATATATATATATATATATATATATATATATATATATATATATATATATATATATATGTCGTACCTAGTAGCCAGAACTCACTTCTCAGCCTACTATTCAAGGCCCGATTTGCCTAATAAGCCAAGTTTTCCTGAATTAATATATTTACTATATTTTTTTTCTTATGAAATGATAAAGCAACCCTTTTCTCTATGTATGAGGTCAATTTTATGTTATTGGAGTTAAAATTAACGTAGATATATGACCGAACCTAACCAACCCTACCTAACCTAACCTAACCTATATTTATAGGTAAGGTTAGGTTAGGTAGCCAAAAAAAGCTAGGTTAGGTTAGGTAGGTTAGGTAGACGAAAAAACATTAATTCATGAAAACTTGGCTTATTAGGCAAATCGGGCCTTGAATAGTAGGCTGAGAAGTGCGTTCTGGCTATTAGGTACGACATATATATATATATATATATATATATATATATATATATATATATATATATATATATATATATATATATATATATAAATATATATATATATATAATATATATATATATATATATATATATATATATATATATATATATATATATATATATATATAAATATATATATATATATATATATATATATATATATATATATATAAATATATATATATAGAGGAATAGAGTATAGAGGAATAGAGTATATATATATACTCTTGTGTCCTCTTAATGTTCATTTTTTGTATAAAATCAGATATGTAACTGTATAACCTTGCATAATAAAGTGTACACCATAATAAAAAAAAAAGGGGGGTGGTAGAAGCGAACACTCTTTCGTATTCAGAGTTAAATGGCAAGTTTTTCCCTGAATGCTCTGTGTTCCCTTCTCTGAGGCTGTGGGTCCCTATAATTGCACCAGTGGTGGTACCCCCCTATATATTCCTTGAAATTTTGTCACATTAACGTTTACCTCTGTCGTTTTTCTGACACATAGATTTTTAAGGTTAATTAACATATATGCAAATTACAAAATTTATTAACTGGAGTGCAGAGCTTCACACACTCCATGCTAGCCATCAAGTAACTATCAAAATGCATATATCTTTGCTTTCACTTCAGTTATATTTATGACAAGGGATTTAAAATTTGCCTATATTTCTGTTTTTCTTTTGACATTAAAACTTTCGTTTATTACAGTATCTACATAAAATTAACATTGTTCTTCATTAGGTTGTAGTTCCCATAAATAGGGAGAGCGTCAGCCAAAAAAAAATTTTTGTTTAAATATAAATATCTTTCCTCTCTCAATAATATGCCCGAAACGCTATGCGTACTAGTGGCTTTAGGTATTGTATGTACTAGCTCTATTTATAAATCCAATATTATGTTTGTAAATCGACTATTTATGTACTTTCGTGAATAAAATGAACTTTACAAATATCTAATCTCTGTGACTAAAACGTAAGAACAACTTTATCTATGCCTTTTTGATAACATATACAATTATAAGCTTTATTAGTGAATCTCTATTAATTAAACAATATATCAGAGAGTGTGTAGGGTTCGGTGTTCCATGTGCGAAGAGACATGGGAGATTTTACATCAGTACAGTAAATGTTTTAAGTAGCAAACGCATACTAACGAATAACGATTAGTATCTATAGATCAACACTATTGTTCTATGAAGTTGATTTAACTTCCAGACATATATTGTTCAATAAGTCTTAAATGTTTTCTGGCTAGTTATGTTAGATATTATTAGAAATACGTATTCTAATTGTTAATATAATAAATTAAATTTGTGTTCATTTAAGGAGAGAAGTATTCCATAAAGTAGGTATTTACTTGCGACGACTGGATCACTGTGTACAGAAGGTTGATATGCCAACAAACACTTTCCAGACAACAATATATCTTGGATAAGTCGCTCCACAACATTAACACCTGGACCGTTGACTTCCTGTGAGGCCACATATTTACTTATTTCATAATGAAAGTATATTATTTCATAGTAGATATATGTTTTCTCGTGTTCTGCATTAAGCACCACTATTATAGTGAATAAATATACCATATTTCTTCATTATTTAAGTAATGCTAGGAGGCTTTGAGTAGCTTTGGGTCATTAGGTGAACAGAATCTCCAATAGATGGGGCGAGAGTCGCGCTATCTCTCGCCCGGGCGAGAGTCGAAACTTATTTTAGAATTGATATATCTTTGTCCTCCAACAAGATATATTTCTTTTGGTGCACTCACACTAACGAGCATATCTCTGTCTTTCTGAAGGCATATAATATTTTAGGCTTTATAAGCATATCTTTGTTAATTACACACTATATTGGCAAGTGCGTAGGCTTCTGCACTCCATGACCGACAAGCCACTGAATGCCACTATAAAACCGTATGCATCTTCACTTGAGCTTTATATATGTCTATGGTAAAGTATTTAAAATGAAGCTTATATTTATATCTTTCTGAAGACATAAAACATATGTGTTTATTAACGAATTTACGTGAAATAAGCATTGTTCTGAGAGAGTTGCTCTGTCGATCAGTTTGTGCGGGGTCAGAACTCGGTGATTATTAAAACACATGAATCTTCATTAGAACTTTATATATTTCTATGGTAAAGTAGTTAAAATGAAGCTTATATTTCTATCTTTCATAAGGCATATAAAACATTTGTGTTTATTAACGAATTTACGTGAAATAAGCATTGTTCTGAGAGAGAGTTACTCCGTTGCTCGATCTGTGCGGGATCGGAGCTCGCCGATTATAAAAATACACGTATCTTCGCTTTAAATACAAATATGCCCATGGTAATGCATTTAAAATGAAGATTATGTTTCTATCTTTCTTGAGACGTATAAAACTCTTACGTTTATTAACGATTCTGAGTGAAATAAGCATTGTTCTGAGATGAATATTGCGGATTTCCAGCTCTACGACCGATGAAAAATGCAACTTTTATACAACTACAAATATCTTCAGTTTTACTTTAAATTTTGTCCTGAAAGAGTTTTCATATATAGATCCAGTTTCTGCCGTTCTTCTGACATAAAAAGACCTTTGGTTTAATAAGTTATTTAGATGTTTTCAACAATATTACTAGGGCGTTCACCGATTCTAACATGGGCGACCCTTTTGGAAACGCAACACATGGGTTGACCTGATTGATATATGGGTCAGATTCCATTAAGGTTCGGAACATTAACACTGCCCCAGATCCCCTAACACCTGCGTCAACACACTTCAGACACTGAAAGCAGCTGCCTCAAACATCTGCATCAACACCACTTCAGACACTGGAAGCAACCGCCTCAAACACCTGCATCAACACCAAAGATGCTGGAAACTCCCAGCTCCAACACCTGCATCAGCACTTCCTTAGATACTGGTAGCAGTAACCCCCAACACCTGTATCAACACCTCAGATGCCAGCAGTGGACACCAACACCTGCATCTACATCTGCGATGCCACGAGCAACAGCAACCAACACCTGCCAAGGACCCCGGTGTATCATTTACCTACTGGCAAAACTGTATACCGTCCAATAATATACCCAAACCTTCCACGGCCAGAGCAAGGAAGATGAGAGCTCACCCCAGGACGCGACGCCGCTCTCATCTCGCATCTCTTATCGGCGCAACTCAGCGTCTTGATGCAGCACGGCGCTCACGGAGTGTGACAAGTTTTCTCCTTCTTACTTACGTTGCGTGCAGTGTGCGTGAACACGACTTAGAGTGCCCATTCACGTCTCCGTAAGAGAAGAGGGCGAGACTGATTGGCCGTGTTTGTTGACACTGAGGTCGGCTGGATCAAGATGGCCGTCGGGGAGCAGGTGACAGCTGCCATGCGCACTCAATTATATTTATATTTAGTTAATTTATATTTATATTTAGTTAAATGTCAACAGGTCGCACTGTCGCAGCCTGTAGAATATACAAAGACAACATATGCACACAGACCACAAGTATGACTCAATAACTGGCTTAGCTACACAGAGAGGTCACTATGGGGAACTTCGAATTATTTTTAATGCAACAACAAATACAAATACAAATATTTATTCAGGTAAAGTACATACATACAAGGTGAGATACAAAAGTTGATGGATTTATAGATAGAGTTAGTACATACAATGCCTAAAGCCACTATTACGCAAAGCGTTTCGGGCAGGAAAAACACTAAGCAGTCTCCGTGGTGTAGTGGTAAGACACTCGCCTGGCGTTCCGCGAGCGCTATGTCATGGGTTCGTATCCTGGCCGGGGAGGATTTACTGGGCGCAATTCCTTAACTGTAGCCTCTGTTTAACGCAACAGTAAAATGTGTACTTGGATGAAAAAACGATTCTTCGCGGCAGGGGATCGTATTCCAGGGACCATAGGATTAAGGACTTGCCCGAAACGCTACGCGTACTAGTGTACAAGAATGTAACAACTCTTGTATATATCTCAAAAAAAAAAACTAAGACTAAAACTTAATACTAATTGAGATTAGAGTATAAATTGTGTTGAGAAAAAAAATGAAAAAGGGGGGGGGGGGGAACATGGCAGAAAAAAAGCAAAAATACAATTTGGTCAACAAACAGCATTGTTTAAAATAGTAGACATGGGTTGACATTTAGGGGTAAGGAAGGTTACATTGAGATATATACAAGAGTTGTTACATTCTTGTACAGCCACTAGTAACACCATTGAGTTAATTAGGTAGCACTTAGTTTTTATCTTAAACTGGTTGAGAGAGGTACAGTCTTTAACATAATTGGGAAGGTCATACCACATTCTGGGTCTCTTGATTTGTAGAACATTTCTAGTTTGACTAAGTCGTACTCTTGGAATATCAAATAGGTATTTGTATCTGGTGTGGTGCTCATGGGATCTGTTACAACCTTCTAGGAAGCTTTTAAGGTCAGGATTGACATTACAGTTCAACGTTTTATATATATAAAATACACATGAGAGGATGTGCAGTGACTTAATATCTAACATATTCACTAAAAAGTACCTAATTTCATTTTCATAGTTTTTTACCTTTTGCTTTAAAATTGTACTGTATCTATTGCTACCCAATCTCCCAATCTTTATGTACCCAATCTGAACATCTTTATCATTGTGATCATTGCTGTCTTCTTATATGTACTGTCAATCTGCTGTATGGTGTCTATTAATCTTGTTTAAATTACCAATCGAGCTGTCATTGTAATCAATCAGAGCTTTAATATACCAATGTGCTTTAATATACTTACTAATCTCTCATCTCATTTTTTTTTCTTGCAATGTATTTGTTATCATTTTATTAATTCTGAGAATTTATCTACTTAAAATTATCTGTTAGATTAAGGACCTGCCCGAAACGCTGCGCGTACTAGTGGCTTTACAAGAGTGTAATTACTGTAATTATCTAAGTGTAATTACCTAAGTGTAGTTACAGGATGAGAGCTACGCTCGTGGTGTCCCGTCTTTCCAGCACTCTTTGTCATATAACGCTTTGAAACTACTGACGGTCTTGGCCTCCACCACATTCTCCCCTAACTTGTTCCAACCGTCTACCACTCTGTTTGCGTTAGTTAGTTTAGTTCATTTATTATGCACCCCATACCCATCTTGTGGGCGGTAGTGGAAAGGGTTACAGAGGCACATAATGGGCTCAGGGACAGAACCCCACAATTCCTTTAGCTAAGCAAGTTACAATCTTGATGAGCTAGTTACAAAATTCAATATAAGTCGTTACATCAACGATGGGTTCGAGATCGACCTCAAGTACAGGTTCTAAATTAAGCAACTGACATATGTGGAGAGCTAGTGTCACAATTTATATGTTTGTCCTGCACACCGCCCCCTATCCAGTGAGCAGCGGTGGATAGGTTACAATCACTTAGTTACTACCTACAGTTAGCAAACTGGGGATATTTGGCTAAAATTTCTGGTAGCAGATCATCTGTTTGCGAAAGTTAATTTTATTTTTCTGAGGTTGGAAGAAAACGTGCTCAGATTGGGGACTTGTTTATTTTATAATGGTAAATAATAAATATATAATAAATTAATATATAATAAATTAATATATAATAAATTAATTTATTATATAAATTAATAAATAATAAATAAATAAATAATAAAATTATTATTATATAGTAAATAATAATAATAACAAATAGTATAATGATAAGCAATTATTTTTAATGAATCAAATAGCTAATTAGGATGAATGATAAATAATTATTGACTAGTGCATAACAATAAAGTATTAAGGAATAATTATAATGAATAATCCTTAATGATAAAGTAGAGATCAATTACAATTAATAACTACATCCATAGGTAGTAAATGAAAGTTGCATTAATTTAATTAGACTAATTACAATTCATGGGAATATTTCTTAGCTATCTGCAGGCTTATCACTTTGGGGGTTCCGGCGGAGCACCCCCAATCCCGGGAGGGCCAGCGGGAGAAGGATTAAGGAGAAGGGGTTCCTTACTCTTACTAGCACCTAGACTGGGCAAAGGATTAGCTGCGGACAGCGGGACACTTGGGGACCGGCGCTGCACCCCCACCGCAGGCCAGCTGGCCGGACCCTTCCCCCCCCCCCCGAAGGGCGAGGCCCGCTGGACGCAAGGAGGCCTCAGAGTGGCAGTGCAACAACGTCCCGGACGTAGTCAGCTGGGTGTTCCAGCTGGTTGCTGGACCCGCCGTTAACTCCGATGGCTAGCCCGTCAAAAGAGCCGAGTGGCCCTGTCAATTCTAAAGGTAAGAGGGCGTGGACGGCTGAAGGCGAGCCTAGCTCTGCGAGGGCGGCGCGAATTAATCGCCCTGAAGAAGTGTTGCCTGTTCACTGGGCACGGGCCGGGTAGAACTTGCCGGGGGGCGCTCGCTGGGCTAGGGTATGCGTGCGTCCTGCACTGCGCTTGTAGGATCTGAAGAGTGTTGATTCCTGACCATGTAAGCAATACCTGGTCCAGTCGGAGCGTGCGTCGATTTTTTGTCGCGTAGATCACCTCCCCCGGGCTGAAAGATATAAGGCAGTAAGGGTGGGCAGAAGCGGCATTCAGTGTTATCGTGACAGGCAAGGGCACAGACGAGAGGGAAACCCTAGCTGAATCAATACGGAGACGAAAAACGGGGGGAGGGAGCCCGGCACAGGAATTAAGAGATTCCTTAATTAACAATCCTGGATGAATAAAGAGTTTTCCGAATAATTATACTGTAGCAATGAAGGGGGCTAACCATTCTAAGAATCTTCCAGCAAACGGAAGGGGGAAGTACCTTTGCTAAGAGCAAAGGTGGGAGAAAGCCAGTAGGAGAACAGCAAAGAAGCACAAAGCAACTATAAACAGGGATAATACGAAACACTATAAATCTTGAATATAAACAATACATATACCAAGAACGGGTATATACAACAAAGCAATATATACATAAACAATAAAATGGTATAAGAACCAATTCTTAAAGCCAAATCTATAACATGCTTGTGTCCTAAGCGGATGTAGAATGTGAGCGGGGAACATTACCCTTGGTCTCCATCCCATCTCTGCCTCCAGACGGGTGATAGGGCTGGATAGAAGCCAAGGAGTCTGCCTTAAGTGGCCGCTGAGTGTAGTCTTGTGTTGTCAATGAGCGTCTGCAAGCCGCAGCTAGTACGCCGTGAACTTCGGCAACATCTTTAGAACAAGAGCAAAGTGAAATCGACGGCAGGGAGCTGCCATTCAGTAACTGTAATAAGGATAATAATAAGAATACAATGTCGTAAATAATCGTACAATGTAAGAATACAATGTAATATCGTAAATAACCGATGACGGCAAGTGCCGCAGAATGGAAGAAATTAAGAAAGCAACGCCAAACCATAATAACAATTTATATTTTTAATAAAATAATACTGGAATGACAGTAACGATACGGAATAATATTAATACTACCATATAGCCCAGCAAATAAGGGAAGATAATAGTATTAACGTAGGCCCTGGGCGGCTGCAACCCGGCACCGCTGCGTGCGTTGTAATGGTGATAAGAGGAATATCCGGCTCGCGTTCTCTTCCTCGCCGCAGTAGGGTGAGGAGGGGGGGGGGGGGAGTTCCGGCTTGTCGTGGCTGCGAAAAAGGGGAACAGAAGAAGCCGACGTTGTGCGCCAAGCGGGCAGAGCGCAGGGGAAGGAATAGCAGTTGGAGGTAAGGGCCCCTAACCTAATGATAGATGAGGTTAAATTAAATGGCCACTGCTTGATCGCAAGCGGGGATGTTTCTGATGGGGGAGAAAGAAACATTTGCGCAGCGCGTCCCGCGGCGTTGCGCGGGCAGTCTGGGGCGCGTATAAATACGGGGGCACAGAGGGGCTCTGCCCTCACTCCGCCTGCCCCCGCCGCTGCCCTCGCAACCACTCCCCGGCCGCCCGACTTCGCACGAGATGGACATCACGCCAGCTGCCTCGGTACCTGGCCTCTCTCTCACGGACATCATGGGGCCCTCGACACCCCAGACCGTTCCGGCAGGGGCCTCCTGCCCTACACTTTTAACCCCAAGGTGAGGTTTTCTGTTCAATTCTAGTCAGGACCTCCCCAGTGCGGCGTGTGCCAAGCGCCATCCCCTCGCGGTACGTGTGTGCCGACTTAGTTAGTCCTTTGGGCTCTCTGCTGCTAGTTCCCGGGAGAGCTGGGGTGCCCTTCTTGGCCCCGTGTCTGGTGCCCCTGTGCCGTGCAGGTCGCGTGGCTGGCTTAGGGTCGGCGTGCGCCGGGCCGCGTCCCTAGGGGCCTGCGTTCGGTCTCCTTTCAGGTGGGGCACCGTCCAGCCGCGCCCGTACGTGTCCAG